CTGGCCTTGCTTCTCCAAACCCTGTATCTTTTATGCTATCAATTCCTCTGGGCTAATTCATAGACAAATGCAAGATCTTTGTTTCTCATCCCTAAATTCCTGGCCTCATGAGTTTAACCTTAACATTCCCCTTTAACTCTAACATCCATTCCTACAATAACATGTGAGCAACTGACATCCCTTTTTCCTTACGGCCTACAGAGGGCTACTTCCCCCCTCACCATCTGGAAAACAAAAAGTAGGAAATGTTGGCAAGGATCTGGGCAGAAGAAGAACCCTTATTTGTTGCAAGAAATGAAATCTGGTAGATTGTTTTCAAAATATAAGCGTTCCGAGCCTTTTTACTTCCATCTACAGGTGAACAAAAAACCCTGGGAGCCTGCTAAGCTAGCCACTCACCCAAACTAGAAGTTTCAAGTGGGCAATTACTAACAGCCAAACTTTCATGACAACCTGCAAGCATCACAAGAACATGCACGTGATAAGCTTTCAAACAGACGTAAGAGGTAAAATATAGAGATTAATTCACAATTTTTTGTTGTAGTTGAGGAAAGAACAAACAGAAGGGGCAAAGGGGAAGATGAGACTTAGATAACTTGTCAGGTCATACTCCTTATTACTCAGCCAAAGTGGAAAGGGAGAAAGGGGTTGTGTTAGAGTTATAAGCTATACTATTCACCTAATCAGGGCACCTGCCATTCCAGGTTTTACAAAGTCATAAGTTAAAGTGCCTCGCTTTCACTACTCTGAGTGTCTAGTGCTTTTATTATGAAGAGAGGGCCCATATTTCTCTCACTCACTAATGGTGGAAATATGTTAGTTAGTCCAGCCACTAGGGAGACCTGTAGAGAGGTTCCACTACTGCCTGGCAAAAGCAAAACTTCTATAATGATTCAGTATAAGAATAAATCTTTGAGCTTGTATCATGACTTAATGGTTAAGAACACTAGCTTGCTCTTCCAAAGATCTTGAGTTCAATTCCCAGAAACTGCATGGTGGCTCACAACCACCTATGAAGGGATCTGACGCCCTCTTCTGGCATGCAGGTGTACATGCAAATGGAGTACTCATACATCTTAAAAAAATACATAAACATTTTTTTATAAAAAAGAAGAAATCTTTGTAGTCATTTTCAGTTTGAAGTGCATTTAGAGCTCATTAATGAATCACAGATAATCCAAAGATACTAGGCTAGACCCCCCAACTTTCTCCTCCAGCTAGACAAGGATGTGGGATTTATTTATTGTAGGGACCGTGGTAGGTTACTGACAGAGATTGTAAGTACCCACAAAAGAGGGCAGGACTTTTTCTGTGATCATGGACTATACAAACCACTGTTTTATACCAAACACGGGTGCCAGCCACTCTTGCCTTTTATTTTGACTTTGTAATGTCAAAATATGACCTGTTTCACTTTCACTACTCTGACAGTTTGGTATTTTTATTATGAAGTGAGGATCACTGTTTCCTACATCCATCTACACCATTCCTGGCCATATATCTGAATGAATCTAATCAGCATACAACAGGGCTGGTTGCATATCTATGTTTTTCCATTTTATTGAAAATAAATTCTTTCTCCTCCCTCTACTCCTTCCAGTTCCTCCCCTCCTCCTCTCTCATCTAGATCCATTCCCTTTCTGTCTCTCATTAGAAAAAGAACAGGTGGACCCAGGTAACCATCGGCTTGTGGAGCATCATGCCTAAATTTTATTGTGACTACTGTGATACGTATCTTACCCACGATTCCCCGTCTGTGAGGAAGACACATTGCAGTGGTCGGAAACACAAAGAGAATGTGAAAGACTATTACCAGAAATGGATGGAAGAGCAGGCCCCGAGCCTGATTGACAAAACAATGGCTGCATTTGAACAAAGAAAGATCCCTCTGGCTCTGTTCTCTGCTCCACCTGCAGGGGCTATGATCCTACCCCACCCCCCCACCCCAGTCTCCCAGGTCCTCCTTGGCATGGCATAATGCCTGCACCCCACATGGGAGGCTCTCCCATGATGCCAATGATGGCCCCCCTTCCTCCTGGGATGATGCCTGTGGGACCAGCTCCTGGGATGAAACCACCCATTGGAGGCCACATGCCCATGATGCCTGGGCCTCCAATGATGAGACTCCCCTGCCCACCCTACAATGGTGCCCACACGGCCTGGCATGACTCTGCCAGACAGATAAGAGCAGACGTGCTCTTTATTGTTTTGTATTTCTTTTTATTTCATCAGGAGATCTTGGTGCTGAGCCTGTTTACTAGATGCATGACAAGGAAACTTCCCTTCCTAACAGAGAAGTAATATAAATAAAAAATGCAGTTTTCACTTATATTGTGAAATGTGAAAATAAAAAGGTCAGCTGTTTTAGTTTAAAGAAAAGAAAAAGAACGGGTTTCTAAAAGATAACAACCAAATAAGACAAAATAAAATATAGTAAGATGAAGCCACACCAACACATCAAAGTTGGACAAGACAAACCCACAGGAGGATAGGAGCCCAGAGGAGGACACAAGAATCAGGCACCCACCTGTTCACACACTCATGAACCCCAGAAAAAAAAAAAACACTAAACTGAAAGTTATAATATATATGGAGAAGACCTGGTGCAGACCCGAGCAGGCCCTGTCCATGCTGCCTCAGTCTCTGTGAGTTCATATGAGCTTTGCTCATGTTGATTCAGCGGGCCTTGTTCTCCTGGTGTCCTCTATACTCTCTGGCTCTTACACTCATTCAGCCTCCTCTTCCATGGGGAGCTCTGAGGGGAGGGACTTGATGGAGACATCCCATTTAAAACTGTGTGTTTCAAGAACTCTCTCTCTCTCTCTCTCTCTCTCTCTCTCTCTCTCTCTCT